GAGCTCATAATGCTCAATTGGGGCAGGACTATAAAACCTCCATAGAATTTTTTGGTGGCATTTATATCAGAGCTAGGTTATTCTTTGGGACAGAGCAAGCTAACCCCTAAGAATAATTTTAAGATTATTTTAAGGAAGGATTGGGTAACACTTGTTTCCTGTGACTTCCTGAACATAGGAATGAATTGGTTTCTGGGAATGACAGCATCCTTTTTTTTTTCCTTTTCTTTACTGGTTGAAAAGGTTGGTTCAATTTTTTTTTTTTAATTCTTTATTGTTGAACGTATTACATATGTATCCTTTTCCCCCCACTGACCTCTCCCAACCGACAGCATCTTTAATACAGTCTATAAATGTGTTTTGGGTTTCAGTGACATCACATCAAATTTGAGAGGGATTAGAACACATCAGATTTGAAAGGGATTGGGTCCAGAAACAAATATAACTTGTGAATTTATTTGTCAGCTCACCTTACCAACTAGAGAATCTTCTATGTTTTCTAGGTAGTGGTAGCAGAGAATTTTGATGAAATAGTGAATGATGTAAATAAAGATGTACTGATTGAATTTTATGCTCCTTGGTGTGGCCACTGTAAGAATCTGGAACCTAAGTATAAAGAACTGGGAGAGAAGGTAAGTCTGAACCATATTCTGAAGATAAAATTTGAGTGGGGATGTTGACACATGTATTTAGCATTGGCTAGTTAGTTACCTTATCTACTCTTTATTCACTTTCTCTTGATTTCCCCCTTGTGTTTAGCCTGAGCAGTGCCTCAAATACCTGTCCTAAAACCACTCAGACTCGCCCTAGCTGGTTTGGCTCGGTGGATATAGCATTGGCCTGCGGACAAAAGGGTCCCGGGTTCGATTCCGGTCAAGGGCATGTATCTCAGTTGCAGGCTCCTCCCCACCGAGGGCCCTGGTTGTGTGTGTGCAGGAGGCCACCAATCGATGTTTTTCTCGCACATCAATGTTTCTGACTTTCCCTCTCTCTCACATTCTCTCAGAGAATCGATGGAAAAATACCTTCGGTGAGGATTAACAACAACAACAAAATAATTTTTTTAAAATGTTTAAAAAATAAAACCACTCAGACTCAATCTAGATTAGTGGTTCCCAACATGGGCCATACGCCCCACAGGGAGGCAGTTTGATTTTTAAGGGGAACAATGGAGAATGAGTTAATAAGTGAATTTTTGCCTTTCATATGGTTCTAGGGACCCTCATATACAGTATATAAATATATATTGCACATATTTATGCATTTTAGTTCTCTATTATGTTTTGAAACTTTATTTGCTATTTTTTCATATCATTTCATATTATTATTTTTTAACAATTTCTAGTGATTTCTTTCTCAGTACTTCAACTGTCCTTTTGTTCTTTTATTTTTCTCTTTCATGGATGCCATGTTCTTTGGAAGCTTGTTTAGACCTTTTAGATTTTCTCCACATGAATAGGAATTCACTTTTTGAGTAATAAGAATTTATGTCACAGGGAGGGCATCAGGATTTTAGAGATGCTTAGGTGGGGCATGGCCCAAAAAAGTTTGGGAACCACTGATCTAGATTATGGTTAAAAGTGTACATGCTGCCCTGTCAGTATTGCTCAGTGGTTGAGCATCAACCCATGAATCATGAGGTCACTAGTTCAGTTCCCAGTCAGCACATGGCCAGGTTGCAGGTTTGATCCCCAAGAAGGGGCATGCAGGAGGCAGCCAATCTATGATATTTCTCTTTTTCTATCCCTCTGACTTTGCCTCTCTCTCTAAAGAACAATAAAAATATATTTAAAATATATATATCCAGGCTTCTGAATTTTGGTAATGGTTTATATGAAACCATTATGTTCCTTCACCTTAAAACACTTGGCTTAGCCTTTACAGTGTCTTCTTTCAGCTTGATAGTTTTGAAGGTGGCTATATATAGAGTCTTAATATGGGACCCAGAGAGAAAAGGGAAACTTGTGAAAGGCAAGATACTATGTGCAAGTGATAACTACTCTTCTTGTCTGAGCAGCAAAACTTATGTGTTTTAAGATGTGATTGTTTTAAGTCCTGAATTGACTGTCTCTCAGTCACTGAAACTTGAAACTTAAAAATCTAACCTTTTTATTAACAGCTCAGAAAAGACCCAAATATTATCATAGCCAAGATGGATGCCACAGCCAATGATGTGCCTTCTCCATATGAAGTCAGAGGGTAAGTAGATTAAAAACTAATAAAAATGTGTAGCCAATTGACAAAAAAAAAAAGCCATTTTTTTTACTGGGAATAGTTTGGGGAGCCCTCATATTCCAGTTGAGCACAGAACCACTGATGCCTTCCCTGGGTTAGAGTTCTGCAGCATGGGCCTACATGACTGTCACAGATTTTGTGAACGCTCATATTCCTGAGTTTTGGTCGGATGTTACCCTAGCCATTGATGGAGACTGCTGTCTGGTCAGATTAGAAATCATGGCCCTAGCCAGTTTAATTCAGTGAATAGAGCTTTGGCCTGCAGACCAAAGAGTCCCAGGTTCAATTACGGTAAAGGGCACATACGTTGGTTGTAGGCTCCTCCCCAAACCAGGCCCTGGTCAGGGCGTGTGCAAGAGGCAACCAATCGATGTGTTTCTGTCATATTGATATTTCTCTGTCTTTCGCCTCTCTTCCACTCTCCCTAAAAATCAATGGAAAAATATCCTCATGTGAGGATTACCAAAAAAAAAAAAAAAAAAAAAAAAAAAGAAAGCCTGAAGAGAAGTTACTCCAAGAAACAGTTATTAAGGACATATACTAGTATGACAGAGTTACTCGAACCGGAAAGTAGTCAACTCTTTTTCTTTTTCTTTTTCCTAGTTTTCCTACCATCTACTTCTCTCCAGCCAACAAGAAGCTAGATCCAAAGAAATATGAAGTAAGTGCATTGTCTCAGCTCTCCACAAATAAACACACCCATACTCACACAAGCTTGTACATATCTAGCTCTTTAATTATATTTATTTAACTGGAAACTCTTTCTACTCTCATCAATATATGTGGTTAATGTGCTTTTACAAACTCAAAAGTCTTATTGGGGGTTGGGGGGAAACCCAGGGTTCTTTAAATGATTAAATTTTTATGGTAATCTTTCTGTTTTCAGGGTGGCCGTGAATTAAGTGATTTTATTAGCTATCTACAGCGAGAGGCTACAAACCCCCCTATAATTCAAGAAGAAAAACCCAAGAAGAAAAAGAAGGCACAGGAGGATCTCTAAAGCAGCAGCCAAACATACCACTTTATAAAGGACTCTTCCGCCAGAGCTGGGAAAACCATTAGGAAGGACTGGTACCCATATGGGATTATTACCTCTCAGGGCTGAGAGGATAGATGGATATTATCTGAATCCTGTTAAATTTTCTCTAAACTGTTTCTTAGCTGCACTGTTTGTGGAAATACCAGGACCAGTTTATGTTTGTGCTTTTGGGAAAGATTATTTGTGTTGCTGGGGGTGGGGGGAATTAAGTTGGGGGGTTATTTTCTAATTTTTTTTGTACATTTGGAACAGTGATAATAAAAGAGCCCCCTTTAAACTGTCTTTTCCACGAGATGGGAAACCAACGGTTCTCTAGCCCAGCACTGTCCAGTAGAACTTTCTGTGATCATGGAAATGTTCTATAACCTTCATTCTCTAAAACTTGTAGCTATTGAGAATTTGAAATGTGTCTAGAAACTACACATTAAGTTTTTATTAATTTAAATAGTCACATATAGTGCTAGTGGCTACCATCTCAGTCAGTACAGCTGTAGACCAACTATTTTGACTCCATAGTTTCCACCTGTAAATCCTTTCCAAATTTTGTCTCTATCCTTACATGTTTATTGCCCAGGCCCCTAGTTGGGTAATTAGAACAGGTGAGGGCCCTTTCTTGTTGGAATCTGTTTCTGACCCTGTCTGTGCCTTAAGGATGGGTTGCTGTTTGTCCTTGCCATGTAGCTGGCCGTGTTTATACCTCCCAAGAGCTGTTGTTTACCCATTAATGCCCTGCGTGGGTGTGGCATCAGGTTGGGGTTCCATCCAAGTTGTTTCAGGAATTGCTGACACTGCTGGGTGCAGCTCTCTCCCAAAGCCCAGGGTGTGGCCTATTAACTTTCCTTTCCAGTGGACTGGGAAAGGCAGTATCATTCCTGGTTGTGAATGAAGCATCCACTTTCTTATACAACAACGAGGAATGCATTGAACCATTTCCCCTCATTCTTTTTGTGAGCACATCCAAATCCTATCCGTAGTTATAGTTTTCAGTCACTGAATATTTCCAGATAGGTGCTCTAATAGTAAATGCTCTTCACCTCGATGTTTAGAAAAGGAGAACTTGCCCTAGCTAGTTTTGCTCAGTGGATAGAGCGTCAGCCTGTGTACTGAAGGGTCCTGGATTCTGTTCCAGGCAAAGGCACATACCTTGGTTACAGGCTTCATCCCAAGCCTGTTGGGGCGCATGTGGGAGGCAACCAATCAATGTGTCTATCTTGCATCGATGCTTCTCTCTCTGTCTCTCCTCCCTTCCACTCTCTCTGAAAATCAATGGAAAAATATCCTCAGGTAGGGATTAACAAAAAAAAAGAACTTTTTTCCTGCTGTCATCTCTAGTTGTCAATTGTAAGATGGATTTGGTAGAGACTTATAGCAAAACTAGAGGCCCAGTGCACAAAATTTGTGCACGGGGGGGGGGCTCGGCCCTCGTAGCCCCAGCTGGCCCTCACAGCCCCTGCTTAGTCCGGATGGTCGTCTGGCTGTTTGGTCTAATTAGCATATTAGCTCTTTATTACATAGGAGGATATTTATCAGGATCATCCATAGTGCTTTGAAGAAGTAGAGCCTAACCATAATCTTGGAGATTCTAATTCACAAGACCTGGGTTGGGATTTGGAAATCTAATTTTTTTAGAGAGCCCAGAAGTGGTTCAGACATAGAGCCAGGGGTAAGAACCACTGCTTTGGAAGATTTAAGAAAAGCATATAAACTTGTACAAAGGACACAGAGACAGTTTTAATTTTTTAGCCATGTTTGTAAAAGAATTCACTTTCGGTACATTGATAAGACCCCAAGCCATTCCCCATTACATCCAGGTGTATCACAACTTCCTAAAAGTTACTGTTTTGTTAGGGAGGCTACCAGGCTGAATTCTAATGTCCTTGAGGTATCTTGTCCTGGAAAGGGTGTCATTTCTTTCTTAAGATTTGAAAATGACTTGCTGAACTAAAGGTGGAGAAGCTAAGCCTTGGCTGCTTTTCTTAGTCTCCTGGGCACAGCTATAGAGTGTTGGCACTGCGCCCACACCCTAAAAATTAATACATGGCAACAATGAAAATCAAACCTTAACCTAGAGCAGCTCTCCTACTTGCCACCATGGATTCAGCAATAACAAGAGCGGACAGTTGCACTCTACTTCATTTACAGCGGTTTTGTTCCTTTGCATCACACCGGACAGAGAGGGTCGATAGCCCTTGACCAGTTAGTTCAGCTGCCCCTGTTCTTTTCCTCAAACTCCAGGATGAGACCTTTAATGTGGGACAATTTCTGATGCAGGTACTCACAGCGACACTTTTCTTCCCTGTAACCTGGGTATCGCTGCAGAGAAAAAGCATCCATGTCAAAAGAAGTAATTCATTTTTACCTTATTGCTAGCATTCCCAAACCTAGTCTTACCTTCCTGAACTTTTTATATTCCTGGACTATCTTTTCTTCCAGCACCTGAAACAAAGAAAATGCAGCATCAAGTTTAACATTGAGAAAAAAACTAGTTCTCTTAAGGGAGGGAAGTAACTTCCTCTCATGCTACCAAATGATACAGAATAATTTTTATCTTAAAACAGGCTTGCTTGTCACTTCGGTCACTGAAAAAAACAGGGAGTTTATGGCCAGTAGACCTGGGAAGCCATCCTGAGTCCAGTCCTTACCTTGTGTTCTGGAGTTCCTCGCTGAACTCTCTTGATCTCTGCTCCCAGCTCTATGAACCTTTGGCTTGCAGCCCCAAATCGAGCATGCAGGATGCGGTATTCAGCATAATCTCTCTCAAAGTCCTGCTCATACGCATGTTGCTGCTCTGCAGTATGGATGGCCCCATATTGCCTGCCAGGAGCAGAGTTAAGTTACCACCTTCAATTTCATTACCTGCCAAAGCTCCAAGCTCCCAGGAAGTTCATCTAAATCTCATGTGCACAAGGCTTGATAAACTTAGAAATGGCAGGGGACTCACAGGACGTAATCTGGTACCTCTTCAGGGCTTGGGGATTCAGAATCTATGAAGGAAGGACGAAGACATGAAGGCGATTATCGGCCTTTTCCCCCACTGTGGCAGTTTTATCCTCTTCTCATTAACTCACCTGCTTGAACTGAGGGACTGTGTTCCAGTCTGGGGCCCATGTCTTCATGTTTATTTTCTTGCTCCCAATCTTCTCCCTCTCGTAGGTCCTGAGTGGGCAGTCCTTGTAGTGGACTTGGGGCTAGAGTTCTGAGCCTCTTTTCTTTCAGTTTTATAGTGGCTGCAGGTGCTGGACGCTTCTGTTGGGGAAAATACTTTTGTCACACTAATAGTATGTCAAGAAGCCTCCTATTCTGTGCCCTCTACTCTCTCTCTTGAAAATTATTTCCATGTAATAATCTCTGTGAGCATCAAAATGAAGGATCCCAATTTTAAAACTTTAGCTTGATTGGACAAATCTCTCTGAAAAACTGTTACAATTTACCTTGTTCAGATGTTTCTGGCTAGGAGAAGGCAGTGCCTGGTCAGGCTCTCTGTTTGGAAGACAGGTCTGGTTCCTGGGATATTTGCAGAGGGAATGGAAGAGATGAAGACCGGAGTGGGAGGCAGAGCTAGATTTCTTATTGTCTCACTTAGGGTGGAGATTCGAGGAAGGGTTTCTCAGCTTAGTCCCACTCTGCCCACGTACCTCACTTCCCACTGTGCCATGTGTTCCCTGGAGGACCCGGGGAGTGACCATCTTTGGCTGCTTGCCCGTGGATCTGGCACCTGGCAGGGAAAATGGCAGGGGCCCTTGGCTACCTGGGCTTCAGGCTTTGCCCCACCTTATCCCAACTTCCCTGCGGTTTCTTCTGGCCTCACCTCCTCTAGTGCCATCTGTGGCTGTGAAACTGCATCTCTAGAATAATCCCTGATGTGCCAGTTCTCAGGATCTCTGGAATCGTCGGTCAGGTTGTGTCCCTGACCTGAAGATGGGGCTGGGAGAGAATCCATGGCTGCCCAGATACTGAGGCGCTCCCTGAGTGGCCCCAGGCAGTGCAGGCGGTTCGGCCCAGGTCTGGAAAGGTGGTGGAAAACATACCGGGAGGGTGGAGAACTTTCAAAGCAGCTGTGGGCATCCCCGTCCTGACTTCCCACGAACGCTCTCTTACCTGCCTAAGCGTTGGTACACAAGGTCCAGGCCACCACCAGGGCCGTCCTGGCCACACTGGGACACTGTGAAGGAGAAGAGGCAGGAGCAGCCAGGGCCTGGGAGCCTCAGATACTGGGAGTGAAAGGAGACCGTAAGCCCCAGGAGCCAACCCTGCCCCCTCCTGCCAGTGCCCTTTCTCCCCGAGCCCGCCTGAGCCCGAAGAGGGGTCCCGGGGGACTCGTTAGCAGCCAGGTGCAGCTGGGCCCGAGGCCCCAGGAGGCCGAGAGGGCACAGCCTCCAACCGCAGCCTCCTGGGGCCGCCACCCCAGCAGCCCCCTCACCCGCTTCGGGCTCAGTTCTCAGGAACTTCCTCAGACCGTGACCGTCTCCGTCTCCCGCCCTGAGCCCGGTCTGTTCTCCCCGCACACACCCCCGGTCCCTTCTTACCCCTCGGCTGCCTTGGAAAGCGATCACCGGCCGCACCTGCGGGGAGAGCACAGAGGCAGCTGAGCGCAGGTGCCGCCGAGTCCCCAGACCTCCGGTGCCGAGAGGGACCGCGCTCCGGGCTTCACTTGGAGAAGCTGGCAGGTCGCGGAGGCCGGCGCCTGTGAGTGCGGCTCCCTACCCCCGTCCCTCCGCCAGGGCCTCCGGCTGGGGCCCGAGTCGAGGGTTAGGGTCTGGGGAAGATGGGCCCGGCCCCCGCACCTGTTGCCGCTGACACTCGTGCAGCGCCCGCAGCGCCGCGTCGTTGAGCCTGAGCAGCAGGAGGCTGGTCCGGGCGGCGGGGGTGAAGCAGAGCCGGAGCTTCCCACCCAGAAACTCCTGGGGTCCCGCCATGGCCGTGAGGTCGCGGGCCGGCACAACTCGAGCCACGCGCGACGGCCGCCACCAACTAACTACTTTCGCTCTGCAGGGCGCGACTTGCACGGCCGGTAGCCCAGGTCTGTCCCGCCCCCGCCGGGACCCCACCCACTGGGCGCCGCTCCCCAAGTCCGCCCGCTGCGTGGGCGGCGCCTCGCTCGCTCCTGCCTCCCGCCCTGAGCCCGCCGGGCCCCCACGGTGTCTTTTTGGTTTGGCGCGACCCTCCTTGGGCTTTTGGCAGGGGCTCCCCCCGTTCCAGCCTCAGGCTCCTCACCCAGAACCTCCAGTCCCGCCTCAGCCTGCCCAGCAGACCTGAAGCCGGCGCTTCTGTCTCTCAGTGGAGCGGAACCTGCAGCCGCTAGTCTAGAGGCTTCCAGGCGCGGGGGAGAGAGCCTGGCTGCCCAGAGCCCCCAGGTCGGGAGGATGGCAGACCCAGCAGTGGATTCCTGGCTCCGACACCTGCTGCAGCACTTTTGCTTTCTTTCCGCCCGCGGTACTGATGCAGATCCGAAACCAGTTTCTAACTAAGGATGGAGAGAAAATCGGGCCCCTGAGTGTCGCGCCAGCGGTGAAGCTTGGTTGTCGAGGGCTGGAACGATCCCCATGGGTTAAACACGTGAAATGGTTGTGAAAGGGAGTTGGCCCACTCCCTCAGGAGGACAGGGGGTGCCATGAAGTTGCCAGATATTCCGTAGGTCCAGATCCTGGTGCAGTGAGACCCCAGGACCACTCTCAGGTCAGCCCTTGGTGCTTCCACTCCTCCCTCTCTATATAATCCTATGTAATAAAACCCTAATATGCAAATAGACCCAAGGGTGGAACAACCTATGGCTATGACCTGCACCGACCACCAGGGGGCAGACGCTCAATCCAGGAGCTGCCCCCTGGTGGTCAGTGTACTCCCACAGGGTTACGGATCAGCCATAAGCCCGGCTCACAGCGCTAAGGAGCAGCAAGCAGGTGGGCGGTAGGGAGTGAGGGGTCCTGGACTGCAAGAGGGGCAGGCTGGGCTGAGGGACACCCGCCCCTTCCCTGCATGAATTGTGTGCATCAGGCCTCTAGTTTAGGTATGTTTCCCAAGATCCCTGATGTTGTTCTCTTTTCTAACCAGGATCCCTCTGCTAAATCTCAACCAGCATAATCCCAGGTGACCTTAATGCCCTCCACCCCAAATCAAATTGACTACAGTACATTTGTCAAAACTCATCAAATTGTATTTAAAACATTCTATTTTAATGTATGTAAATTATACCTTAATAAAGTTTACTTTAAAAATCAGTGCAATAAACCTCCAACAACAAAAACATTTACTGGTCCGTGTCCTCAGGGCTCCCTACTACTCTGGGTGACAATTTGCTAATCAGATAAATCTTGTGGCACTAGGTAAAGCTGGTCTCCCAGGGTTCCTTTTCTTCTCAGAAGACATCTGTGGCCTTTTGTTAGATCTTCCTGGATTAAAATCAAAGTGGGAGGGTGGGAAGGGTGAAGGTGAAAGAGGGCATAGAGGGGATACATGATGATGCGGGGCGGGGGGGGAATAAATAATATGATTGACTAACAAACTGCCCAGCACTTACTGGACAAACTTGGTGAATAACAAGACCTGCTTTTATTAGAAAATAAAAGGAGAGACTAGAATGGTGAAATTTTCCAGAGAGGAGGGAAGGAGCCGTGCTGTAAGAGGAGGCAGCTGGGGAAGGTATTTGTTGAAGGGAGGTAGGGATCGAACATTTGTTGGGTGTCCGTTGTTAGGTGTCAGGATCTTTGCCCGTTATTTAATCCCTATAATAGTTTTATAGAGCAGGCATTGTCCACATTTTTCATACATTCATTCAACAAGTACTTATTGAGCTCTGTACCAGACACTGTACTGGATCCTTGGGCTACCTCAACGAACAAATTCTTGCTTTGGCAGACACTAAACATACCTAAGAAATAAGCATTAAAAATATAGTGTATGACCTTAGCTGGTTTGGCTCAGTGGATAGAGCATTGGCCTGCAGACTGAAAGGTCCCAGGCTTGATTCCAGTCAAGGGCATATGCCCAGGTTGCAGGCTCAATCCCCAGTAGGGGATGTGCAGGAGGCAGCCGATCAATGATTCTATCTCATCATTGATGTTTCTATCTCCCTCTCCCTCTCCCTTCCTCTCTGAAAGCAATAAAATCATATTTTAATAAAAAATATATAGCGTATGGGTCCTGGCTAGTGTGGCTCAATTAGTTGAGCATCATCCCATGCACCGCAAGGTCGCTGCTTCGATTCCTGGTCAGGCACATGCCCAGGTTGCTGGTTCAGACAGTAGGCAACTGATCAATGTTTCTCTCTCTCTCTCCCCCCGCTTCTCTCTCTAAATATCAATAAAAACATATTTTACAATATAGATATAGTGTATGGGATGTGGAGGGAGTTTGAAGAGGGTAAAGGGGGTCAAATATATAAAATATATGGTGACGGGGTGGGAACAGACTAGAAAGTGTCAATTCTGGGGAAGGACATATGTAATACTGTCAACTATAAAGATTTTTTTAAAATATGACAAGGAGATGAGACTTTTGGGTGGTAAACACACAATGTAGTAGATAGGTGATGTATTATAGAATTGTACACTTAAAACTTAATTTTACCAATGAATGTCACCCCCAATAAATTTAATTAAATAAAATAGGGCATGTTAAAAGGTGATAAGTTGCCCTAGCTGGTTTGGCACAGTGGCTAGCGTCAGCCTGAGGACTGAAGGGTCCTGGGTTTGATTCCAGTCAAGGTCACATGCCTGGGTTGCACGCTCCATCCCCAGTGTGAGGCGTGCAGGAGGCAGCCGATCAATGATTCTCTCTTATCATTGCTGTTTCTCTCTCTCCCTCTCCCTTCCTCTCTGAAATCAATAAGTGCTATAGAACAAAAGAAAAAATAGAGCAAGGTAAGGGGGTTTGGGAATAGAGGAGGGTTGGGAGGGTTGACTATATATTAAGTAAGGTGATCAGAGAAGGCCTTCTGGAGAAGATGAAATTTGAGCAATGCCCAAAAGGAGGTGAGGGAATTGGCTAAGCTGCACAGTTGGAGGACATGCTCTTTAGAAGAGGGACTAGCCACTGCAAACTCTGTAAGTCACAAGTGTGCTTGAAGGGTTTGAGGAAAAGCTGAGGCCAGTGTCACTGGAACAACATGAGTGAGGGGAAGAGTAGTAAGAGATAAAGTCAAGAAGATAAGGAGCAGAGGGAATTAGTCACGAAGGGCCTTGTGGGCTATTGTGTAAACTTTGGCTTTTACTTTGAAGGAAATGGGGAGTCATTGCAGGATTTTGAACAGAGGAGTAACATGAAGTCACTTCTATTTTAAAAGGATCACTCTGGCTGCTGTGTTAAGAATAGACTAGGGCCGTGGTTGGCAAACTGCGGCTCGCGAGCCACATGCGGCTCTTTGGCCCCTTGAGTGTGGCTCTTCCTAAGCCTTAGGAGTACCCTAATTAAGTTAATAACAATGTACCTACCTATATAGTTTAAGTTTAAAAAATTTGGCTCTCAAAAGAAATTTCAATCGTTGTACTTGTTGATATTTGGCTCTGTTGACTAATGAGTTTGCCGACCACTGGACTAGGGGAACAAGTATAAAAGCAGTATGACCTGTTAGGTGGCTATAGCAGTAATCCAGGCTAGAGATGGTGGCAGCTTGTACCAGTGGATAACAAAGCACATGGGAGAAGGGATAGGGTTCTGGATATGTTGAGGGTAGAGAATTTCCTGGTGGGTTGAATGTGGTATGTGAGAGACAAATGTCATTAAGGATAACAAGGAATGCCCTGGCTGGTTTGACTCAGTGGATAGAGCATCAGCTTCCGGTCAAGGGCACATGCCCAGATTGCGGACTCGATCCCCAGTGAGGGGTATGCAGGGGGCGGCCTATACATGATTCTCTCTCATCATTGATGTTTTTCTCTCTCTACCTTCCTCCCTGAAATTAAAAAAAAAAAAAAAAAAAAAAAAAAGGATAACAAGGATTTGGGGCCAGAACACTAAGATGAAATTGTCATCGACTGAGAAAGGGAAGACTGCATGTGGAATAGTGTTAGTTCTGACTATGCTGAGTTGTCCTAGAATCCACATGGGCAGGCATTTATATAAACAATTTGGGAGCAGGTGCAAGATGTCTTGGGCTAGAGGTGCAAACTTGGTAATACAAAACATATGTGTGCGTTATGTGCCATTGAGTCAGCTCCAACTCCCGGCAATCCTATGAATGAGAGACGTCCAGAGTGTCCTGTCCTCAAAGCCCTACTCAGCTCCTGTAGCATCATGCTAAAGGCTTCTTTTATGGCGTCAGTTCCTCTCATATGTGATCTTCCTCTTTTCTTGTTGCCTTCAGTTTTTCCAAACTTTATTATCTTTTCCAGAGAACCCTGACTTCTAATTTTGTGCCTGAAATAGGACAGCTTCAGTTTTGTCATTTTTGCATCCAGAAACTTTTCAGGATTGATTTTCTCTACTACCTGCTTGTTCATCTTCCTGTTGGTCTAGGCCCGAGTATCCATAGAACTCTCTCCAACACCAACTTTCAAATGAATCATTTTTTCCCCCTATCAGCCTTCTTCACTGTCCAACTTTCACATCCATATACAGTAATTCGAAATGCGAGGGTGTGGATGATTTTAGCCTTGGTCTCTAATGACACACATTTGCTACTAAACATATAGGTGGTATTTAAAGCCATGAGGCTGGATGAGATCACCCAGGAAGATAGAGGAGAGCCCTGGGCACTCCAATCTCTAGAAAGAGGTCAGGGTGAAGAAAAGCCAAGCCAATTGAAAGGAAATGGCCAGTGAGGAAGGAGAAGCACCAAGAACACCAAGAGAGTGTGATGTCCTGAAAGTGAAGTGAAAAAAATGTTTAGAGGGGAAGGGATTGATCAAGTGTGTCAAATGCTGTGGATAGGCCAAGTAAAATGAAGATTTAAAATTGGCCATTGTGATAAAAGTTTTCTAAAATTGACAGTGCTGATGGTTGCACATATCTGTGATTATACTAAAAGCCATTAAATTGTGCACTACACTTCAAATGGGTGAATTCTATAGCATTTGAATTCTGTCTCTTTTTTT